ATCATGGTATTAATTATTCCATCATGCTAGGTAGGCATGAGAAAATAAAATCCTCATCCTCTAGGAGTTTATATTATACTGGAAACATCTACAGCAATAAATAAATACAGAGGAATATAAAGGAAGCATATGGAAACTACAAATGTACACAGATAAGTAAATAGAAAAGAAAAAGTAAATACAAAGTAATATCTGGAAACAACATATAAACAGATAATAATATACGAAATAATACCAAGTGGAGTAGGGGAGAACACTAGCAACAGGAGGGATATGGAAAGGTAGCATTTAAGACTTAAGTTGACTTGAGGAGAAGGGAGCTGAGGATTGCAAAAGGCAGGATAAGCAGAGAGAGCCCTCAAGTGTGGGGCAAAGGAAGAAAAGCCTAAACGTTTACTCAGCAGGAGTGAACTATTAAAGAATTTGAGGACAGACAGCTTTACATTTATATCCTGAGCTAGAGCTTACAGCCTGAAGGCAGTTATAGAAAACTAGATCAAAGTTACAGATTTGGGAGTCCTTGGGTAGAGGTGATAGTGAAAACCACTGGGGTTCTCAGGATTAAAGGCAGAGAAGATCAAGAACTGAGTCTTATATATCCAATATACTATGTGCAAGGTTGTTGTTTGTTCTTCGTTTGCAAAGAGGACCATGACATCAGGAAGACGATGCCATGACTTGAAAGTGAATTGGATTTAAGTGAGGGAGGGCTGTGTAAGGCCAGGAGCCTCACTTTCTACTCTGGAGCCATCTGGGTCCAGTGGCAAGATATAGATCAGGGTGACTAGAGATGGCCCCAAGATAATATAGTCCTGTGGGAGCCAAAGGAAAGGAGATATTTAAGTAATGTTGTCAAATACCACAAATAGTTTGGTCAAAGAAGGAGGAAAAAGTCATTTGCCTTAGGTAAAACAAAGATACTGGAGAACTTAATTTTGAGAGATCATAAACTTTTTGAGGGCTGAGATTATATTAATCCTGGAAAAACTTTCTTCCCCTCTCTTCTCTGTCTTCCAAAATTCCAATCATTATTCAGGCCTATTTCAAACCCCCCTTTCCTAATCTGCCAGTGGTGCCAAACATGGCAGAGGCAGTAAGTACTAAAACTACTAGCCTTTGATATGTCTATACAGTGGTGTGAGGAAGCCAGCTTATAGTGGCTCAGAAGAGCTGATTATTAAATTTTCAGTATGAACATTTACACCTCAAAATCTTGCTACAAATCAGGGCTTTATTTATTGCTTTGTTGATTGGCTAAACTTAAGAAACAATGTAGTAAAAGTGTTCAAAATGTGTTCAATTTTTTTTTTCTGGAGAAGCTGTGCTCCCATGTCTATATCACTTGCTTTAAATTTTGGTTATCTTTTTATGATTACATACTAGATTTTAAGCACATTAAAGAAAACTATGTCTCATACCTCTCTTAATACATAGTAAGGTGGTGTTGCCTTGTATATGGTAGGTGATCAAGAAATAGTTAAGTGACTCATTCTCTGAAGCATTTAGTAAGTAATTCTTCTTTGGACATGGATTATACCTTTCCTGGAAAGTCAGTTGTAAAGTGAAATTCTGGTTGACCTCTAAGGTCCTTCCTATCACTACATCTATGATACCATGATACAAGACTCAATTTTATTAATATTATTATTATTAAATTAGAAATGTATTTCTCAAGGAAAAAATAATTCTGATATAATAAACTCACATTAAGAATGCAACAAGTCTATAAAATGAACTTTAAAGAATATGGATAAACATAAATCAGAAAATGATGCAATTGAAATAGTTGATTTCTGTGCAAAGCAGAGATTTGAAATCCTAATGGTTTTGCCATTTTTCTACCTTTCTTGCTTCACACTACCTTGAAAATTCTTATTTATACACAATAATTGCACTTGCCTGTACTTCTTTCACTTACACTTAATAATGTCTTCCCAGACATTTTTGCCTTCAGAAAAATAAGCTCTGCTCAAATACAGATTTTTTTTTTCAGAGCATACTGAACCAAAAAAATCAGACCCATGCATCTTTATATCCTTACATAGTATATCCAATTTCATGAAAAATCCATTAAAATGACATATGCCTAAGTGTATATTCTTATTGGTTTCCATTTTAAGGATGGTAGACTGAATGACAAATCTAACAAAGCATAGCTTGATGTCTTTTATTAGTGTATGAAGTTTTTTCAAAATAGTTTAACTCCACCAATTATTGGAAGGAAATGTTAGGTGGCCAAGTTAAAAGAAATCTCACTTTTTCAGTTAGATGGCCAAGGTAAGGTATTATGGAGTCTTTATCCAGCTCATTGTGCCCAAAGATTGCATGAATCCCTTTCCTCTCTTTCTCTATGACTCTGAATGCTGTAGAAGCCCAATAGAATGTAAACTCTTTGGGGGACAGCTTATTTAATTTTCTTCTTTGCATCCCCAACACTTTGCACATTCTAGACTTCTAAATACATCTTGATTATCATTTTTAGCAATAATAATAGGTGCTAGCATTTATATAGTGCTTTGAGGATTGCAATATGTTTTACATACATTATCAGAGCCAATGTTATTGCTGTTTCAAAAGTAGAAAAATATTATTTTGGATTATCTTGCTTTTTAAAGTAAATATTTGAGCATTTGAATATATGAGACATGAAAATCTTTTTAAAAATTTTTTGAATAGCTGTGGCGGGCTTTCTTTCAGAAAGGGCCTTTTACAGTGTTCCTTATTGCATGTGTTTAGGTTATATTAAACTGTGCACACATTTATTATTTATATATTTTATATTTTTGTATTATATCTTATATATGTAATATATTATATATATTTTATGGTTATATTTTCATATTATTTATGTAAGTGCTATTGACACTTGTCATGAATAATATACAAAACATAGATTCATAAAGTGCTTTAAGGTTTATACAGCCCTTTCTTCACAGTGCAAATATCTCCCTATTTTATAAATTTTGAAGTTAACAGTCAAGGTCAGGATTGAAACGCAGTTCTCCTGTCCCCCAGTCTCCAAGTCCAGCAATCTGTCATACCATATTGTCTTTCAAGGAGTAACACTGAAATTTACCACTGATCTATTTTCTCATAATAGATTATATGGGGGAAGGGAAGGGAATAAGTATTTACATAGCGACTACTACTGTCAGGTACTGTGCTAAGCACTTTACAAAATAGTAGATCACTTGATCCTCACTACAACCCTTTCAGGTAACTGCTGTTATTATCCTCATTTTACAGTTTAGGAAACTGAGACCAAAACCATCGGTTAAGTAAATCACCCAAGGCCAGTCACACAGCCACTAAGCGTACTTATTACATAGCACTTTCTTCACAACAATTCTGTGGGGTAGACAGTGTATTACCCCTATTTTATAAATTTTGAAGTTAACAGTCAAGGTCTGGATTGAAATGGAGGTTTCCTGATTCCAAGTCCAAGAAGAATGGAAAGGTGGGAGTAGGTCAGCTTATGTAGAGCTTCGAAAACTAAAAGATTTTTTATTTGATCGTGGAAGTAAAAGGGAGTCACTGGAGTTTACTGAACAAAGGGTGACGTGGTCAGCCCTGACCTTTAGGAAGATTAATTTGACAGCTGAGAGAATTAACTGGAGTGAGGAGAGACTTAAGGAAGGGCAAAATAACAAAAAACAAAAACAAAATCTCACAGAGTCTGCCTTAAGGGAAGAAAAAGTTCCCCCACTGTCCTTTACCTGTGGAGAGTCGCATAATATCAAAGTGTTCTAAGTGTGATTTTTGAAGAAAGAAAATAGTTTATCTTGCCGATTCGAAGGAAAATGCACCTAGCAAGCGCTTGATAAATATTTCACTCTTGAAGCAGTTTTGTTTTGTTTTGTTTTAAATTTCAGAAAACAGTAACTGATGGGCGTTAAACTGGAAGAAAGCCTGGCAAATCCACAATTCCGTCTACTTTCTCAGGACAACTTGGTTAGAAAGATCCTAGAACCCTCCGTTGGCACCAGGGAGAAAAAGGTTTCGATTTTGTTTTGTTTTCCCTAAGTCTCCCCTGGCAAGTTCAAGAACTTTCTGGCTTTAAAAGAGCAGCCAAAGCTGATAAAACAAACAAACAAAAACCCCAATCTCCTCGTTGCGGGGCAAGTGACAAAGAAGAGCCGAGCTCGCCAAACCGCAGTGCCTAGAGGAATTTACGGGGAACGATTTTCTGTTTTGGGCCGGAATGAACCCGGATTCTTGGGGACCAGCAGCAGCCTCCCGGGACTCTGACGCTTCACCAGAAGGGTCATTTCTGCAGTGGCTCAGCACCGAACCCAAGCCGCCTCCACCTGTCAAAGAGAGGGAGAAGAGAGGGTTCTGGCGGAAATCCGGGAGGGGCGGGGCTTCGGATCCACGTCTCCCAAGTCCCTTCCATAGCATGCGTGGATTGGGCAGCCTACAAGGGGAGACCGCGTTCTCTTCTCCACCTCCAGAACCTCTTCTCTGTCAGCCGTGCGCCGCCAAAGCGCCGGCTCCTCAGCACCGGATATGTTACTTAGCTGCGGTCCAAGGCTTAAGAAAAAAAAACTCCAAAAAAGAACTGGGGTGTTGCGGGGGAGACCAGCCGCGTCTTCTCTGCGCAAGCCTGGCCGTCCTCAGGTTCAACTTCCTGCACTAGAAGATGTTTTCCTACTCCAGCAGCTGCTAACCTCCAGGGTGCGGACCGGCGCGCCCACGGCCCGCCCCCTCCGCTCTCAGTGGAGGGTGGAGCGGTACTTGCCTAACCCCCTCGTAAGGAACGCGGGGGCGCGCCCGTAAGAGCTCAAGGCGGTGCTCTTTGGCTTGTACCTTCTTCTCACCCTTTTTGAACCCGCCCCCTAGCCCGCTGCCCTATCACCGGGCGCGCTGCCACGAAGAGGCGCGCCTGGAACCAGCCGGCACGCGGGCCGAACGGGACTGGAAGGGAGGGGATCGAGGAGCCCCGATCCTGCTCCTCCGCGCGCGCGCTCCCGCCCTACACCCCCGTGACGTCCCGCGCCGAGGCGCTGTAGCTGTTCGTGCCGCTGTCATGGCGTCTACTCCTCTCTCTGAAGAGAAGCGGCCAAGGTCTAGATAGAGTCGGGGGCTGGCGGCTCGGCATGGAGAACAGCCCCGAGAGCCGGCAGCCGCTAGGACACGGGGCGGAGGCGGCCGCGGCGCCGGCAGCGGGGACGGCTTTTCTCGAGGGAGGGGCAGATGAAAACAAGAACAGCGCTGGGCACAACCCTGAAGCGAAGCCGTTTGCAGAACCTAGAAGCGCCCGCGATGGGCAGGGGGCGGCGGCCGGCCCCGGTAGCCGCCCGCAAGCGCATTCCCCCGGGGTCACCGCTCGGGACCCCGGAGCCGGCGGCTCCCACCCCGGCTCGGAGCAGAAGCACAAGCGAGAGAGCCCCACGGCCTCGGAGGCGGCTCCGAGAGGGCAGCACAAGGTGACCGCTGCCTCGGAGAAAGCCGAGGCCGGAGGAGAACCGGCGCCCGCGGGGACTTGTCCGCCAGCGGCTGGAGATGCAGGCGGCGGCCTCAGCAGCAGCAGCAGCCCCAGCCCCAGCAGCAGCAGCAGTCCCAGCAGCAGCAGCGTCCCGAGCCCTCCCGGGGAATCTCCGAGCCTGGATTCCCTGGAGTCCTTCTCCAATCTACATTCTTGTCCCAGCAGCTCCGAATTCTGCAGTGAGGACGGGCCCGAGCCCAAGGGCCGGGAGGAGGAGGAGGAGGAGACGGCGTCTGGCGGAGCTGCCCCTCTCTGTAAGGAGGAGGGAGAGGCCGCTCAGGTGCTGGCGGCCTCCAAAGAGCGCTTCCCGGGACAGTCTGTATATCACATCAAGTGGATCCAGTGGAAGGAAGAGAACACGCCCATTATCACCCAGAATGAAAACGGACCCTGCCCTTTGCTGGCCATCCTCAATGTATTGTTCCTGGCGTGGAAGGTACATTCAGCAGCCTTTCTATTCCCGGCAGCTTTTAGGGAAGGAAAGGTGGGAAGGAAGAAAGGAGCCCCAGGGTCGGCAGATATCTTCCTTCTTTTCCTTTCCTGTTCACTTTTCCCCTTTTCATATTACATGAAATGCATACGGGGACTCTTCCGTTGAAGGAATATTCTCAGATAAATATCGAGTGCTGTCCCCTGACGCTTCCTCTTGTAATATTTTAATATTAGTTCAGATTTTTGTCCATGTTTTTGTACAGCTGTTACCTAGTAGCTAAAGCATCTTAAACTTACCTCCACCCCCCCAAAAAAAAACAGAGCAAAAAACTTACATCTTCCTACTCCATGCCCATTTATGAACCTCAGATGTCATTTTTTTTAAATTGAGAAGCATTGACAAAAGTAAGTTATAGGTACCACTATCAATTTTTGATGTTGTTTTAGAACAAGTTCTAAAGGTCATCTCTCTTTTTAAATCTCTGGTCAATATATAGGTTATTGAATATAGGATAGAGAAGACCTTCACACATTTTTTCCATTTATGGAAAACTATTGGTCTTGAACACAAAGGGTACTGTAGTTTCTTTCGTTTCTCTATGCAAAGCTTTCGTTCTGGTTGCTTTTTACCTGCCTCATTTCTTGTCCCCTTGACTGCGATATTTTATTAATACTATCATTTTACTATATGTTTACTATGTATAATATATATAAAATGCCATATATACTGTGTATTGCTCTTTATACACTACGTGTTACCATCAGCAGTAATCTATTCCTATGCCAGAGGAGTTAATAGTGATGTCAAAGGCCAAAAAACAAAATCCAGAAAGGATAGAGAGGAATATTAAGATATGAGACCACAATATAAATGCCCTAATGGCTTGTCGTTCTGCAAGAAGGAGAAACAGTTTGACTAGATGGTATTAATGTAATATGTGTGGTATTTACAATACAGTAAAACCTCAGTAATTTGGGACCATTTAGGGTGAAGACCAGGTAAAAGTCCACCCTTTTTAGTGGTTACTTCTTTAGGGATGATATAGAAGAAGTGGAAAACAGTGCATGCCCTTGATGAACTTATCATCTATTTGAACACACAAAGTTTATTTTATTAGAACAACTAGAGAAAACAGGACAGGACATAATACTAGATTATGTGGTGCAGACTACAAATGCCAGATGAATTCTGAGAAGTGAAAGGTCATTTGTGGATTAGAGTAGAGCAGGACAGCTTGGCAGAATAGCTGGGTTTGAGTTGTGTCCGGAATGGAGGCGTAGAATTTGAGTTGTCTGGAATGAGAGGACTTCAGGTGGAGGGAACAGCATAAATCAAAGTTTAAAAGCCAAAATGAACTTGGAGGTGTGGGGTTGTATTTTTTTGGTAGAATTGGAGGAGTCAATATATCCATTTAATAGTGGAAGGTTCATATTTGTGAATAGTAAAAGGTTAGAGGAATAAAGTGTACACAGTTGTTGGAGACCTTGGATAACAAAGCTGAGGAGTTTAGTTAATTGTTTTAATCTAAGTCCCCAACCTTTTTTTGAGGAGTTACTTTTTGTAAGAGGAAGGTCATTGTTAGATGCTACAGTTGGGATGGAACCTGGAAACACTTTCAGAAATATTAATCTGATTGTCAGGTACAAATTGGATTAGAGGGTGCAAAGTTTGGAAGCAGAGCACATCAACTAGGAGGAGACCATTGCAATATTCCCTGTATCAGAGAATGTTAACTCAGTTCAACAAATGTTTATTGAGCTCTGATTATTTGCCAGACTCTGGGGATACAAAGACAGAAATGAAGGAGGAACTTATATTCTACCGCGGGATACAATGTAATACAAAATAAGCAAGTAGTAAGTGATTTCAAGAGGGACAGTATGCTAATAAATGGGCTGGGGCAGGTGGGGGGAAGTGTCAGAAAAAACCCTCTCATGTAAGAAATGTCATTTGAACTGTGCTTTGAAGGTTGCTAGGGATTGTATGAGAAAGGTGAGAAGACTGGTTAGAAGTAAGGTGGGGGATCAGTGGAGAGGGTGATGGAATGTAATGGTTATCTTCAAAAAGGCTAACACATGGAAGAAAGAGGAGAGAATACATTCCAGAAATGGAGGAAACACTAGCCAAGAAATGGAATGTAATTTATAGAGAAGAGCTAGCAGGCTATTGTGACTGGAGCAGAGATCTTGTGAAAGAATATAAAATGAAATAAGACTGGAAATAGTAAAGGAGAATGAGATTGTGGACAGCTTTAATTGCCAAATAGATGATGTTATCATATAGGCTTATGCATTTTATCATACAAGCCATAGGAGACATTGAAAATATTTTAGTTTTTATTTATGTCTTTTCCCATACTTTCCCCAGTACACCTCCCTCCACCCTCCTAGAGAGACATCCTATTTAACAAATATTATTTCTTAAGAGAAAAAATTAAAGGAGGAAAAAAATCACTGTAACTGATCAAAAAAAAGTCTGAAAATATGTGCAATATAAGGGACCTCCCACTTCTGCCAAAGGGTGGAATGGGAGTATTTTCTCACATCTGTTCATTCTAGCAATGCTCTTTACTTATAATTTTGCAATATTCCCTCTTTAGGTAATTCTTTATATTTACATTGTTGTAGTCATTGTGTATATTGTTTCCTTGGCTCTGCTTACTTCACTCTGCAACATATGTAGATTTTCCCATGCTTTTCTGTATTCATCACATTCATCAGTTCTTAGAGCATAGTCATGTACCACAATTTGTTTAGCCGTTTCCCAATTGAAGGGCTGTTTCTAATTCATCTCTATCATAAAAAGTTCTGCTATAAATATTTTAGTTTATATGATGACTTTCTTCTTATTAACGACCTCCTTGGGGTATAAGCCCAATAGTGAAATCTGTGAGTCTAAGGGTACGGGCTTTTTAATTACTCTATTTGCAGAATTCCAAATTGCTTTCCAGAATGGTTGTACTGATTTACAGCTCTACTAACCATGCATTAGTTTGCCTGTCTCCCCACAACTCCTTCCAACATTAATTATTAATGTGTTTATAGTCTTTGCCAATTTGCACTGTGTTAGGTGAAACCTCAGGTTGTTGTGATTTGAATTTCTTCAAATTGGGAACATTCTTTCACAAGGTTGTTAATAGTTTGCAATTCTTTTAAGAACTTTCATAGCCTTTGACCACTTGTTGCAACAACAACCACCACCACCTCTAAAGTGGATAGAATGAGGAAGACTTCTCTTACTGAATTCATATCCAGACTCATACACTAGCTGTGTGACCCTGGGCAAGTTACTTAACCCTGTTTACCTCAGTTTTCTCATCTTGTAAAATGAGCTGGAGAAGGAAATGGCAAACCACTCTAGTATCTCTGCCAAGAAAACCCCAAAAGGGGTTATGAAGAGTTGGAAGTGACTGAAAATGACTAAACAGTAACAAATTAGGTAAATTTAATATAAATATTTTCTCCTTTTTCCCATTTTCCCTGATTCCCTTCTTATTCTAGGTGCAATACTTTTGTTTCTGCAAAAGCTTTTCAATAACATGTAATCAAAGTTAATCTATTTTATCTTCTGTAATTGCCTCCATCTCTTATGAGGTCAAGGCTACGCCTGCCAATAACTGTGAAAGGGATATGATCTTCTAGTCTTCTAAGTTTTTGTGGTATGATCTTTAATATTAAAGTCATTTATCCATTTAGACTGTGTCATAGAATATAGAATGAAGTATTGGATTAAGTTTAAAATTCAGTCAGACTGTTTTCCAGTTTCATTACCAGTTTTTTTTAATCAACGAGCATGTTCTTTACTAAATAATTTATATTTCCACTTTATTGAACTCTAAGTTAATTGAGTTCTATTGTTTCTGATCCTCTAGTCTGTTGCGCTGAGCTACTCCTTTACTTTTTAAGCAATGCCAAGTGATTTTGATAACTACTGGTGCTTTAAAATATAGTTTGAGGTCTGTAAGTGTATTCCTCCTTCATCTCTACTTCATTTCATCTTTTCCTTCTATATTCTAGATCTTTTATTTATCCAAATGAATTATTTTATCGTCCTATCAAGTATCCCTTTGATGACTTGATTTGTATAGCATTAAAATGTAAATTAACTTTATGATATTGTTATTTTTTATTATATTGGCCCAGCCCATTCAAGCACTAAATATTCCTCCACTTATTCAAGTTTTTTTTTCTTTAAGGAGCATTTCATAATTGAACCCATACAGGTATTTTGTATGCTTTGGTATATTGATCCCCAGATATTTTATATATTTTGTAATTATTTGGAATGAAATTTCCCTTTCAGTCATTACCTCTTGGCTTTTGTTATTATTACATAGATTTGTTTTGGGGGGTTTTTTGGGGGGTTTTTTGGTTTTTTTGCTTCTTGGTGAGGCAGTTAGAATTGTGATTTGCCCAGGGTCACACAGCTAGTAAGTGTCATGTTTCTGAGACTGGATTTGAACTCAGGTCCTCCTGACTCCAAAGCTAGATTTGTTTTTTTTTTAAATATATATAACCTGCAACTTAGCTGAAACTATTCTGTCAGTATCTTTGCTGATTCACTGGAATTTTTGCAGTAAACCATATCAGCAAATAGTGATGAATTTATCTCCTTTTTACCTATCTTTACAACTTTAATTTATTTCTGTTGTCTTATTGCTAGCATTTCACAGTTATATGAAATAATAATGAGGATATTGGGCATCCTTGATTTACTTCTTGATTTATTGGAAATTTTTGAGTAGGAGGGTGACATGTTCATACTTATATTTTAGGAATATCAGTTTAGGAACTGTATAAAGCCTGGTTCAGTCAGGGGAGAGACAGAAGACCCAGAGGCCAATTAGAAGACTGTTTTAAGAATCCAGGTGAGAAGTATTGAGGGCCTAATTTAGCACAGTCTGTGGTTTATTCTAGGTTAGTGACTCAAAAAAACCAAAAAGCTAGAGACCAACGGTGTGTGGTATTACATGCCTCTGTAATCCCTGCTACTATGGTTGTTAT